TTGTTTCTTTATTTGACAACGATATACYTAGAATTTACATGTAACAATTCTACATAGTGTTTAGTCCCTCATTATCTTAAGTTGCAGAAAGATAAGGCTGGTTTAATATTGTCAAATCCCTAAAGCACTCTGCAGAACGGTCAGCAATAAGAATAAATAATAGCAAATAAGGATATCAATACCTGGTCACCATGGTGTTCTCCTTTACTGGAACTTGTTTGCTGGCTGTTGTAGGAATTTGCTGTTGTACTAGGCCTATCATTACTAACTTGTGCAGTCCCACCACCACCACCTAGAGCATCTGAATAGCTTCTCTTATTGCTTCCTCTCTCTCTTTCCCCATGGCCACCCGCCTCTTTGTCTGACATAGCTTTCTGTTCTTACATTGCAGAAGCAAATGCTAAACAGAGTAAGAAACGATATTCAGTTCATGATGTACAGACATGAAGCACAAAAGTACATGTAATGAAAAATTTTAAAGTATCAGAATCTTTCAAGGAGTTTCAAAAATAGATATACCGTTTATAAATAAAATTCACCTTGCAATCAAATGACTGAATTACGTGAAACAATTTCACAATAAAAGATAAGTGTTTGTATGAAATATTAAAGTATAAAATTGTGACAGAAATTATTTATACAGTGTTTTAAAATTGCATCATAAATGGCAAAGCTGTTAACCCTTCCAGATGAAATAAAGAAGTGAAATATTTTTGGTATTAATAGATTCAGCGCTCCAAAAGTTAATAAATAGTTGAGTGTCAGAATTAATGGGTCATGGAATAAATTTGATAAATGAATCACAAAAATCATACAACAGACAGAGAAAATAATAAAAATTCTAAATAATACTCCAGTTTCAAATTCATAGCGAAAAAACGCTGCTTTATTTGACAACAGATTTTCTTGCGCAAAGAACGATTGAAAGAGCATGAGAAAATGTGGTTATTACAATAGTCTTGCATTTTCCCCGAATTGAGATTAACCCTGTATTCCCATAAGATAGACCCAAGGTATGAGACTTCTGGGAATACACGGTTATCCTCAACTCAAGTAAAAGTAAATTGTTTATAGTGCTATTATATAACAACATTTTTTCATGCTTTCTTTTGTGTTTGGTAAGTTCTTTGTGTGAGAGAATCTGCTGTCAAATAAAACACCTGTTCTTTGCTTTGAATTAGAAAATGGAGTATTACAACTGTTGGAGTAGAAATATTAGTTCCCCAATTAATTTTAACCCCCAGCAGCTACATTAAAAATGGCTTGGTCAAGTTTCGGACTGCACATTCATCTGAGAGTTGAGTTCAATTGATTATTGCAAGTAACTAGGTAGTGTAATCATTTATCCATAAAGAAATATATTTGTTGCATGTCACAGGGGTGGATCCACGGGGGATGCTTTGGGTGTGTAGTCACACCCCAACCCTCCCCCCTTTGGAACGGCATATGTTTTTTTATATATCAGTGTATATAAATGTTTTTGTGTTGTTTATACTCCTGTTGTACTTTAATCGAGAAAACGAGTAGCATACACAACATAAGTCTGCCACTATGCTGCTTAACAATCTATTTGAGTAGTGTAGTCAAAGATAACGCTGCAATAAACGTCAATTTACTTTTGGTCAAATTGTGCATATTTTTCTTGCTCTAGACAATACCCAGCTAACAAAAATGATCAGTTCCAGGGATGTCAACTCCCCTGGATTTGCTGGGAGACTGCCGATTTCAGATCAAATCTCCCGGTCTCAAGATTTTAGTCCTAAATCTCCCAGATAGCCGATATTTTCATAGAATGACATTAATTACTAACCATCGTTGTAGATTTTTATTTTCAAAGTAAACCTCTGAAGGCTCTGCCTTTCCCAACCCCTTTAGGGCCGTTACGCAGGCTAACACGTCACCATATTCTCAACGAAATACCTACAAGCGTTGCATAAGTATGCGTGCGCATGAAAAACATATAAACTGATTATGCAATGTCTAATCCCATTGGTTGAAATAGAATATGAAGTCACCTGTGACATCATGAATGACGCCATTCACATTGTGTGATGTCATACACATAATCGTGGCAATTTTTCCAGATTTATAAAGTTCGGGGGTTGACATCTCTGCATTTCCATCTGCTATACTTAGTTTTTAGGTATATATCATGCCCCTGTGTCATGTGATGTAAGTTTGTCACCCAGCTATCTAGCCTGCTATAACATTCCTTCTCGTCCCTGTGTCATGTGACGTAAGTTTGGAACCCAGCTATCTAGCCTGCTATAACATTGCTTCTCCTCCCCCAGCAGGATGGAATGCCTGTTAGCAGGCTACCCAGCTATCTCATGTAAACGCTGGGCCTGAAAAAATGTAATTTGTTTTCTTGGACACAATCTTTATGAAATTAGTCGAGAGATCTGTGCATCAACGATGATTTATTGACAATCCACAGTTTTAAATTCCGAGAAATTTCAGTTTGTCGCGTGATTGACACATGAATCCACGAGTTAATTCCGAGAAAGTGCGTGATGTTAGATTCAGATCCTCGAGTTAATTCCGAGAAATCTATGAAAATTGCTTGCTTACGAGAAAAATCATACTGAAATAAGATTACTAATATAAGAAGTTTCCTCTTTAGATATAAAATATAACAGATAGAATTTCAGAGAAATATTTAGAATGTTATACTAATCTTACGGCAGAGAGATTCAATATCATCAAAATAATTTGCATAACACACCACAAGTCAAAAGTCAGATTGCTACATACAAAATCCAAGCCTCGTCACGTACAGTTGCTTAAAAGGTTCAACCTAGGACTTTAATAACGCCTAAATATTCCTTATGGTGAAATTTGTGGCTAATGATGTYATTATTTATGCAAAGTCGACGGATGGCATTAAGTCTTACCTTGATCAAAAGATCTTTATTACCACAAGYGTAAAGCTTGAAAGTCTTGACGCTCTCAGCGGAGTCCTGCTGAAAGCGCTTCCCAGAATTTGGAACCACGCAGACTGCAGAACAAGTTGTCGCATGTTATCCCAAATATGGTAACATTGTTTCATCATGTGACTCATAGCTTCGGCAGGACTTCCACGAAGTATAACACCTACTTACTGTGTATGTTGAATTCCTGGAAGCAGGCGAAATCTTATTGMCGCAACTTCSTATTATAACGATATTTTGAACTTAAAGAACTCAAATTTTCGAAATAACCCTCGGGACATCATATTTTAATGAACTTTTCCGAATGATAATTTGATAATTGTCCTAATTAACTGTATGATTCAACATGAAGTGTTATCTTTGTTCTAAGGACAAGTTACGGAGAGAGTTTCCATTCGAGGCACTTACTGAAAAGTGCAACCACGCGCCTTTACATTGCTTAAGGGTGAGTATATTGTGTATATTGATAATACTATTTTAAGTGTGGATGGTCGTTTCTTGGGGGGAAACCCAACATGGCTAGGGGTGTGCCTCCACAAAACTGACCTTATCCCAGACCTAACATTTTGACTTTATATATACAGTGCACAACAGAGTATGTAGAAAAGAATCATCGCTGTTCAATGTGTGATAAGCCAGTTGCAATTGACAACCCAACTTATCAAGAATGTATTTACACACTTAAGAGAATGTTTCCTGATGTTGAGGCTCCCCAACCTATCCCAAGCACCACTGCAGGTGCACCCAGTACTAATCAGACTATCATGGTGTCAGTAATGGGTGGCGAGGTGACAGTCGTACAGTTTAATCCAAACATGACTGTTGTCCAACTCAAGAACAGGATTCAAGAGCATTTTAAGGTTAAACCAGAGCAACAAAGATTGYTGTTTCAGGACAAAGAGCTCAAGGTAGAAGTTTAATAAGAATATTCTTGACTACATTAATGACATTAATATCTTAATGGCTGTGTTTTATTTAGAACAGTTCTGTTGAAAATTAATTTTCCTGAAATTGATCATATAACCCAGGGGGTTGAGTTTTGCCTGTGATCGTATCTGCTGGGCCATGCTTTCAGCGCTAAAATAATGTGCCTTAGTACCTTTAGTCTGGGGTAAGGTATGTAAAATCACAAACATTGGTCTGGGATAGGGTAAGGGTTTTGAGGGTTGTGCGGCACACAAGTTGGGGAGGTAGTACCCCCCGGACATATAAAAAGTATTTGTTCACATTTTGTTAAATCAATTCATTCTGGAACAGCTTCAAGTATTAATAAAAACAAATGGAAACTAAAATACGCAAGTGCATAAGAAAAACACTGCATCACATTAACTATCTTAGTTACTGTATTTATCCATGTATAAGCCGCTCTCGTAGATAAGCCGCACCCCAAGGTAATTTTTAACATGGTGACAACATGCAAGAGCCAATTGAATGCAATGTAATGACAATATGATATCAATACAAATTAAGTTTTTGTTGTTTATTTTCAATTCCTTTCAGTCCTATAAGAACAACTCCCAACTGGCAACTCTCCTTGACTACAATGTACAGCCATCTTCAACAATTAACCTTGTTGTTGTCCTCTACAACATCCCTGATTCCTTTGACGAAGTCATCTTTGATCTGTTTTGGGGATACCCCTTTTCAGGAAAAGATTATTTAGATGCTTCAGTGTTACTTTACAGTGGGCCATATTTTCAAGAAGTTGTAGATTATCACAGACGACACAGCAAGACCTGCTCAGGTGTTCGTCATTCTGGAGATGTAATGGATGATTACAATCGTAAAGGACACCACACCATAAGAATCAAAATCAAAAGTTTACCAGAGAAAATCAACAAGTTATTTTTCACCTTGAGTGCATGGAATTCACCAAACATTTCCAAATATCCCAACCCAAGTCTGAAATTTTTTGATGCACGATATCCAAAGAAACAGCTTTGTGATGATTCATTGACACATGCTGCATATTCTCAAGCTATCATCATGTGTAGCATGTGTAGGATTGATGGAGAATGGAAAGTATTGAGCTTAAAGCGTCTCTCGGATGGGAATGCAAAGGATTACAGCCCCATTCAGGGCACCATTCAAACACTGATTCAAAATGGCTCATCATAATCAAGAACTGATTGCCTCTGATTGGAATTCTGCATGATAACATAACATTTACCTAGCAAAGTAATGAAACAATGCAAAAATAGTATCTAGAGTGCTTACACTATGTCCATGAAATAAAACCTTAAGTAACAATGCGCTAAAGAACTAGGGAACTCTCTATTGTTCTGTGGCATAGCAAGTTCCCCATGTACGAATGTCTTGGTTTTCACACTGATTATGTATTAACCTGTGGGTAACACATTTTTGAAATAAAATGTGGATAAACTCTATCTTGAAACAAAGTTTCTTTTGTATTAAAAGCTCTTACCCAATCATAAGCACTCAAAACAATAGCCAAAAGATGCGTCTAATTTGCAATAAAATAAAATATCAGAAAATTCCCTAACTTGTGAAATTATAGCAGATTTTCATGTTTGAACCAATGGGATGGATGGATTATACAATGCACAATTAGCACCTTCTTGCATTCCTATGCCGTTTGCTTCCCTAGTTCTTATTCGGGGCATTACTTAATAGTTACGACCTAATAGTTGTTATTTAGTGACTATTAGTTGCTATCACTCAACTGGAATAGTTGCAATGAGGTATTGTTTCCTTTAATTCGTTTTCCCAAGTACAGAATGTGTTGTTACTAAAATAAAAAAATAAAATGGTAAATCAAAGCTAATACTTAGTAGCATGGTAGATATAATTATACAGATACTATTAGCATTTAATAATAAATATTGCTCACAATATCTTCATTTGACACAATATTGGAATAGTCATTTTTATTCCTACCAAAATATACCAAAATACAGTTCACAAGAACCTAAATATATTAATAAACCTTTATAGCACAGATTTACAATAATATACTCCTCTGTGTATCTTTCAATGATGTAGTATAGATTGATGTCATCTCAAGTAAGAGAATAAAATGTAATCTTGCTAGTCTATTCTTGGCTTACTAGTTGCGTCATCACTGCCATGTTTGATGAAGATCACAACACATTCTTCATTACTTTCTTTTGTTCATTCATSCAACATGGCGGTGATAGCTTTGTTTTTTATTTGTCAGTGGATTCCTGGTGATATGGTTACACACCAAGAATATTGTTTTGGACAAGTCCTTTTGGAAACTCCTTGCTGTCCTTTCTAGTGTCACCAATTCCTCTTGAGGACACCAGGAAGAGCTACAAGGTCAGATATTAAATAGAGATACAAGTATTTTGTACTGCTTTGTGATGCCAGTTATGAACCGAACTATGAACCATATGAACCTATGAACCATACTACAATATTTGTTTCTTAGCAGCCTTCAAACGTATTAAAAACCTCAGTAAAACTATTAATGTAAGACAGCGAAACAGATGAACAAACCAAGTTGTGGTCAGACAAAAAGGAAGATGGTAACCGGACAGCTCTAGGCTAACTGTGGACAGCTTAAAACCCTTTTTTTCTGCATTTACACTTTCTCATAGACATATAACTCTACCAACAGATCTAAAAGATAAACTTCACTAAAACCTTAGYWRTCMAGAAAATCATGATTTTGTCCAATTGTTTTCAGATCTATTAGAAACTAAAACTCAAATCCAGGAATGAAGCTTAGTCATTGTTGTATGAGGTGATGTTCAGTGSTTATGACCAAGAAGTGCATGAATCCGTTTTTTTGTTGTATTGGGGTAATCTTAAAGATTTGTGTCATATGATATTATATTATTTAGTGATCAATTGCTAAGAAATGCATAAAGTCTTTCTTGTTCTGTTGTGGAGATCTAGTTGGACGTCCAAGGTCTTTACGTCCACCCTTGTTGCATTTAATCTCGAGTAGTACAGGTCCATCAATCTTACGCATGGCTGTCACCTTTTCTGCAATGTCTTCTGGTTCAGTGGCCTCCATTACCTGCAAGATATGTTAATTACCATTTAGGGTAGAGGGAATGAAGAGGCACTTCTATTAGCTAGGCAGTCACCTTCAGGACTTTACAAAATAAGACTATCTTATATATATTAGCTGCTGATTAAAGTGCACATGACACCTTTTAGAAAAACACTTTTATCTGAAAGTTTACACGCTGCCAACTACTTCTGCGAAAAAAAGAAATAGATTTTGAATTGTATTTTCTGAGTTATAGACATTTGAAAATTGAAAATGCAAATGAAGTGACGTCAACTAAGGAATTGGTCCAGTCTTTTTACATTGTTTGCGCTATGCTGTTCTTGGTTGAAGAGCTCAAGTCATTAACCATAGTAATAATTGAGAGCTGAAAATGCTTTTTCCAATGTAACAAAAAGAATAACGTTCTCTTTCATGATTTTGTATATTAAATCATTCCTTAGTAGACGTCACTTCATTTGCATTTTCTAAGTTTTAATCGCCCATAACTTACAAAATACAATTTGAAATCAATTTCTTTCTTCACAGATGAACTTAGCAGYATTTTCTCTTTTGGATGAGAGTGAATTTCTAATAGTGTCATGTGCACTTTAAGGTTGAACAGAGGGCAAATAGAGAGTAGGAATGTCTATTAATTGTGGCTGGCTAAAAGAGGGTGACCACTTTGCACAGGTACTACTACTATGCATCAAAGATGACTGCGAGTTGTTTTCCAACACAAGAGAAACTTTTTTTTATAAAAATAAAATTCTTAAATTATTTTTGAMTTAATGAAAATCTACTGAAACAGGAGCATGATTTTTTGAAATAAACCTCTTTTACGCTGTTTAGCCTCAAAATCATGTAATAAATTCTTTTATTCACAACTCGTGCAAATGCAAGAGATCCATGAGTAGAAGACAATGGAAGTAGTTTGAAATTTCACATGTTTTATCTAAATTTCTGAATATTTTGCACACAATTGAGGCTAACACAGCATAAGACAGATAACTAATTTGTGAAGAAACTTATAGCAAAAGTTGCCACAAGTTACAGTGTAATACTTACAGCAGCATAACCGCATGCTTTTGCGATACCAAGAAAGCTAAAATTCTCAGAACCGCCGACACTTGGTTGACCACCAACGCTGTCATGGCAACCATTATTAATGATGATGTGCTTAAGGTTCTTGCTTTCTTCCTGGCCTATTGTTGACATATTTCCCATATGCATCAAGGCAGAACCATCACCATCCAGACAGAATACCTGGAAATATAAATATACCAGGAATTGTTCATAATCGTCTGTAAGTTTTTTTCCAAGAGGATTTGAATTGGGTTGCAACACACATAACACGTACGATTGGGTCTATTTTATGTTATTTTTCTAGCATTACCTGTCTTTTAGGTCTAAATGGGTCTATTTTATGTTATTTTTTTAGTATTACCTGTCTTTTAGGTCTAAATTTTGCTATTCCAAGTGCAATAGCCGATGCATGACCCATTGATCCCACCGTAAGAAAGTCCTTCTCATGTCCTTGTCCCTTAGCAACACGATATTCAAACAACTCTCTTGATAACATTCCAGTGGTTCCCACGACAACATCTCTGTCATGAAGACTATCCACAATTACCTTAACAACACCCTCTCGATTTAGTGGGTATCTAAAAAAGGGGAATTATTAGTATCAGATAACTACCTTTCTACATATTCTGGTCTGTACTGGAAGTTTCTGTAGGACATGGAGCAGGGTAGGGGGTTGGGTAGGTTGATGTGCTTCGATTTAAGTGCAACAACATGCATAGACTTTACAGCTGCTTCTTCATTAACATTATACTACAGCAACCAGACTTGAGAATAAACTGCACATATTACCAAATATAGCATATGGAGCACAAACCTATAGCTAATATTTAAAGCAACTGATAAAGTTATAACAATAATTCTTGTGTGGTTATTGAGCCAATGAACAGAGAGCATTTTGAATCGTTTTGTCTCAAGTGGAGTTGTTGTGGTAACGCGATGCTAATTTGGATCATGGAAATCGAGCAGCGGAAAAGCACTTTAAAATCAAAATAAAAGCTGTGTTCGCAAGTGGCGATCAAAAAGAGAAAAGTCAAAAACTCCCCTAAAACTTGGGGTGCTGCTTATCTACGAGAGCGGCTTATACATCCGGTAAATATGGTATATATAACCTAACAGTACTACTAAGTGTCATGGTACTTACAATTCAGGTTCTGATTCTAATTTGTAAGGCAAAAAGTTTTGACGACGGACTAATAAACAGTAAGGGCTTTTTGTAGTTTCCATGTGTTTACGAGCAGTATATAAAGCCTGAAAAACAACAATGTAATGCCATAAATATAAACAATATTAAGATCAATTGCTAAGAAATGCATAAAGTCTTTCTTGTTCTGTTGTGGAGATCTAGTTGGACGTCCAAGGTCTTTACGTCCACCCTTGTTGCATTTGATCTCAAGTAGTACAGGTCCATCAATCTTACGCATGGCTGTCACCTTTTCTGCAATGTCTTCTGGTTCGGTGGCCTCCATTACCTGCATGATATGTTAATTACCATTTAGGTTAGAGGGAATGAAGAGGCACTTCTATTAGCTAGGCAGTCACCTTCAGGTCTTTACAAAATAAGACTCATATATATTAGCTGCTGAATAGGTTAAGGTTGAACAGAGGGCAAATAGAGAGTAGGAATGTCTATTAATTGTGGCTGGCTAAAAGAGGGTGACCACTTTGCACAGGTACTACTACTATGCATCAAAGATGACTGCGAGTTGTTTTCCAACACAAGAGAAACTTTTTTTTATAAAAATAAAATTCTTAAATTATTTTTGACTTAATGAAAATCTACTGAAACAGGAGCATGATTTTTTGAAATAAACCTCTTTTACGCTGTTTAGCCTCAAAATCATGTAATAAATTCTTTTATTCACAACTCGTGCAAATGCAAGAGATCCATGAGTAGAAGACAATGGAAGTAGTTTGAAATTTCACATGTTTTATCTAAATTTCTGAATATTTTGCACACAATTGAGGCTAACACAGCATAAGACAGATAACTAATTTGTGAAGAAACTTATAGCAAANCCAGGAGTTGCCTGGCCTTGCACCTGGTGTTGTGGTTCATCCCGTTTACCAGGCTCCCCACGCCACCCTACAAGTAACAGCATTGGTATGCTATACACGCCTGGTACAGCTAATGACATCAGTGGATTGACGATATTACCTAAACCAGAGTTCTATAATACAAATAAACAAACACAAGGCTATGAGTGGTTACTGCTGACATGCAAGACAAAGACATGCAAAAAACATGAGACTGCAAAAGTGATTGACAGATGGAATGACCACACTGCCCTAGCTGGCCAACGCAATGACTGTCACAGACTGATGACTGACCTAATGACAGACTGATTAACCAAAGAAAACATTGACTGACTGACAAACGGACTGATGAATGGATAACTCGCTAAATGACAGAAAGAATGACTAACTGACTGACAGACTAACTGACAGAAAGATTGAGTTACTGACTGACCGACAAACTGACTGATGAATGGATAACTGACAGACTGAAAGAATGACTGACGGACTGACAGAAAGATTGACTTACTAAATAACTGATTGACAAAAATAACAGCTAAACAATCAACAGCACAATAGTCTTCTTCACGGTTCTATGCATCATCTTGAAAGTTAGCCGTGCCTTTGCATCGAAGCGAGAAGACTGTTGAGCTTGCAATGATAGAAACCTTCTTTCACACCTACAGACAATTATTCACAGTATCTACAGTATCATTGCACGCTCAGTGGTTATTTCGCTTCGATGTAAAGGCACGGCTACCTTTCAAGATGGTGCAGGCAACCATAAAGGAGACAATAAACCCTTTTAGCGATCTCTTTTACACTGTGTTAGCCTCAAAACCATGTAATAAAGTCTTTTATTCACAACAGCCTGTGCAAGAGATCTGTGAGTATAGAAGAAAATGGGAATAGTTTGAAATCTCACGAGTTTTATCTACATTTCTGAATATTTTAGCTCACAATTGATACTAACACAGCGTAAAAGAGATCGTGGAACTCGACTATTGAGTCAACTGGTCTAGAGAATTGACAAAAAGGGAAAAAAATAAAGTATTTACTTGTAAGTATACTACGGCAGCTTTTCCTGTAGCCATATGATAGCCTGACGCCAGTGCTATAGCTTGTCCCTCATTAGCTGTAATAATATGGTTAGACTTGGGTGTAGTMGCAGTAACATAGGCACAGAAATCCTTGAGTAGTGAATCTGGGACTCCACAGAAAAAGTCCATGTTGTGGTCACGAATGGAACCATAAAAATCCTTGGGGTCTAAGAAGTCTCTCACTAATTCTGTGAATTGACCAACATCTTCATTACGCTTTTGTTGCTCTGAAACCTGATGTAAAAAAAACAATAAACACTATTTATTAAGGCCCATACTAACAATGTATAACAACTCAAGAAAAATGCCAAGAAATAATAAATATAAGCTGAAAATCATTTTTTGTTCTTGTTGATGGGATCCCTGTGTTGGTTCTATAACAACAGCAGGAGTTATTTAC